CACGACACATAATTTGAAAAAATTTAAGATATTATCATTTACATTTGTGGAGATATATGGAGAATAAATTATGTTGCAAACACTCCGAGACATCTAGTATTTGTGTTACATTCTCTCGCAAATAAAGATTTCTTCATGTTTTCCATCATTCCTCTCCTATGAATCTTCTGTATAAATCGGTTGAAAGGATCCTCAAACGGCTCAAACTTGCACTATATTCTGTTGCAATCTGTTGATAAGGATGACAATGCCTGTACTTGGATGAAACATAAATGAATGAAGAAGGAGCAAGACGGCATTCTTTGATTAATCTGGCAATTTAGTGCAGCTCTTCGATCCCCACAGTGAAATCTGTCGTAATCCATTCAAGTTTTTAGGTATTGAAAGATGTAATAACAAGTCGAAATTTTCTCAGGAACAATGTATTTTCTTTTGAATTCTCAGAGTTCTAATGCTTTTACACAACAATTCCATATAAATTGAATAAGGTTTATATCATGCATGTCATGCAATTCCTAGACTTCTAAAATAGCGATCGTAACATTAGAATCAAAAAGAAGACATCCGAATGCTATTTCTATGTTTGAGAATACTGGATAGGTTTCCGGAGCTTTTTTCAGAAACGCAAGGGTTCTCTGAAAATTCGAAAACCCTGAAGGGTTTCCAATAGATGTTCGGAAACCATGCTCAACTTTTCGGAAACACTTCCACCGTTTTCGATGCTCGGAAACCCAAAAAGGTTTTCGATAAAAAAAATATCGGAAACGCAAAGGTTTTCGAGAAGGTTTTTAAATCAGAGAAGGTTTCCGGGGATAACTTTCGGTTTTCAAAAAGAGCACCAGGGTTTCTGAGAATACGGTTGAGGGTTTCCGGACCTATATTTCGAAAACTCATAGGTTTCCGGATACTCGGAAACCCTGAAGGTATTTTCAGAAACTTAACATGAGTCCGGAAACCTTCCCGGATACGTTCAAGGGTTTCGGAAACGGTTTCTGAAGGGGTTTCGGTTTCTGAGAAAACGTTTTTTTTAGAGTGTATGCGAAACCCCGTGACTGATGATTTTCTGTTGCCTTCATCATAATTCTTTGATGGATGGCTTTAGCCTTTTTCTTATATTCTTGTTGTAGTAATCATTATATCACCTGATGCCGATTGATCGCCTTGCCATCAGTGACATCATGTGAATGGTGAATGTTGACGTTTCCTCACAGAATATCGCTGATATCGATCAATATCTATCTCTTTCGGATGAGCACTCATGGTGTCTAAAATAGCTACGCCTGGGTTCTAGAGACAAACAAATCTTATTTTATAAAGAAAACTGGGTAGTTGTAAAAAGAAGTTGTCATCTACTATTGTTAATATAGTTAAGAAAGCCTGTGATAGCCTGTTATCGTAATTTTCTTCTTCCTGAAAAAAGGATATATAGAAAACAGTACAAGTTTTTTAATATTTAAATTATCATTTTTCCTGCATTCAAGCAAACTCAGATACAAAGCATACTTACATTGATATGATACTATAATAGCAGAAAAATTATTATCGAATTGTTTTGATGTATTGCACCGAACAGCTCAAGTATGTTACAAAGATTTTCAAAGAAATATACGAAGAGCTATAAAAATGATAGTTAGTCTGCATATGCGAAAGACTGTTTTCGCAGCTATTTCTCTAACATATTGAATATCGTACTTGGTATGCCACATGAAACCTCAAACACTCATTGAGCTGTCAAATACTGACAGATATGGTTCCATGGAAATTTTCAGTATTCGTATCAGTATTCCACAATAATATTATTTGCAAACTATTCCTCATTTAGAGCAACCTCCTATCCAACAAATATCATCATTCAATACATAGTCGAATTCAACATCTAACCAAATCAAATAGAGATCCAATCCAAGCACTCGAGCGAAAGGGAGCACGGATTATCGTTGGAAGAGGGTTTCAGACTCAGTATTTCGAGCCAAACTCCCAGTTTTTGCTCGGTAACCTTTCTTAAAAATACCACCATTGGATGCAGAATCGAAGTCTGCATCTAACCCAACTAACTAGTAATTTAACTCAAGTTCATGAGCGAGTATCAGCAGCGATTACTGTTGGAAGACGGACCTAGATCCAGTATTAAGGATCGAACGCCCGGTTTTTGTCCTATGACATTCCTTCAAAAACATGACCAATCGATGTAGAATTGAATTTTGCGTTTAACCGAACTAACTAGAAACCTAACCCAAGCCCATAAGCAAATACCAGCTGGGATTACCGTCGGAAGAATGTTCCAGATCCAATATTTTGGGTAAACCCCCCAGTTTTTTCTGGACGATCCTTTCTTTAAAATATCACTATTCAATGCAGAATTTAATTCTGTATCTAACTCAAGCAAGAAGAAGCTCAAGGGTGTGGGTGTGGGGTGTACGTGTGGATGTGGGGTGTGAGTATGGATGTGGGTGTGAGTGCAAATGGAAGAAAGGACTCATACCCATACTCACACCCGCATCTACCCTCTGCTTTTCCCCCTTGCATTTACATGTAAGAATATCTCAAAAGGAAGATCCGCAACTTTTTTTGAATAACTAACTTTGCCTATTCAATAAATGTACATCACAAAGAAAATATTACGAACATGTCACTTGTTTGCTCCTGCATCTAATGGCCTTATGATTTCATGGTTAGAAATCGCGATGAATGAAAACTGTGATTGTTATCAAAATCATACGAATAATTTTTGCATTTATAACATGCATGATTTTCAAAGATTGAGCTCTCATTCAACATAGATTCAGTCAACAACGTTGATTTTTATAGAGTAAACACTAGACCCCATGTTGATACTTTTGATATCCACCAAATCTCAAAATGTCTGCAAATAGACTATCTTTGATCAAAAATGGAATCATATGGATAATTTTTGTCACAACGGTACGAAGCAAACAAGAGCGGAAGTGGAATCAATAAGGTTTTCTTGAGAATGTGTCTAATTTCAATATACTTATAATGGTTTGTGAGTAACTGCAACTTGATGTGTGCCACTATCTAGTTACATAAAACTTGCACTAGACAGTCTTTGAATGAGCTTAGATTCCAGCGCTTAGAAGTGTTTATATTTCTGATTGTAAGCGTCTTTTAGCTGTTTAAAATGTGTTCTTCATGGCGCTTTTAAAGTAAAAAAAAACTAAACTACTTTAAGCTAACTTTTTTGCTTACACTTCCAAATGGAGCAATATGAACTGTATGCAAGCGAATTTCTCGATTCGCTCCATATCTAACTTCTTACACATGGGCCTCATCCTACCTGGCATACTCATACCCAGTTTCGATTGAACGGTGCGAATAGTCTTTTCCATAGATTCGATATACATATGACACGTTGGTAGAGATTTTAGCCAAGTTTCACGCGCTTTTTCAAAATAATTCAATGCTTGTTTAAAATCTTGTTTAGAATGGTACATAGCTCCTATATTTGCATAGGTTTGCCCAAATTTTAGATGGTCTTCTCTTAGATATTGTCGATCGGTTTCAAGCGCTTTTTCAAAGTACATTAGTGCTGAGTCGAATTCATTTGTTTTTGTGTATAGATTAGCTAGATTCTTATAAATATTTGAAGTGAGATCAGGAACTGGAGTGTCAGTAATTAGAGCGGCGAGTGCTTGTTTGTGAGAGTCAATAGCTTGAGCATAGTCGTGCATCAACCAATAGACCATACCTATTGACATATAACACTTGGCAGTGTCAGCTTCTTTCTTGTCCGGTATTTTCAGTTGTTTTAATATATCAAGCTGTTTATAATAGTTATTTAATGCTTCTTCAAAATTTTTTAATTTAGTGTTGGTTGCACCAAGTGAATTGTAACATCGAGCTGCATCCAGAAGACTTATTGATGGTTGATTTAAAACTACTTGGAAATATTCTTTAGCTTTTGCATATTCACATTTCCAATACAAGTGATCACCATAAACAAAAATATCATTGTGTTTTTCAATTGCAGTTGCCGCTGTTATGGCAGTTTCATTAATGTTTTTGTTGGACATTTCCAGCTCCGTTTTTTCTCGTACATAGAATAAAAACGTTTCCTTCGCAAAAGATTTTACAGTGCTCTAAAAAGAAACAAATCATAAATAACAAGAAGAAAAAGAAGAATACAAGGTCTTCCAAGAGATTTTCACGGAGAAAAAACCAGTGGACCGCTCACAAATAATCTGGTGGAAATATATCGAAGGCATATGTGAAGAACGTTTACAACTTTGATGAACCGATGTGATTACTGCGGCACAAGACCGAAGCAAGTAGAAAATGTTGCTAAACGAGTTTAAAACCCCGACCTGAAAGAAATAAGGGGCAGAAAATGAATGAGTGAAAACTAAAAACATAATAAAAACCTACGTTTTTTATTTTTCTTTTTTCTATGCAAAAAGAAATAATGAAACACGAGTGGTAGAAAAAAATATGATGTAGTAGGAGGAAAAAAAGGAATGAACGAGAAGAAAAAAAAGAGGAAGAAAGAAAAAACGAGAATACATTCAACTATTGAGAAAAAGAAGAAAAATAAGTTTCAAGCATAGTATCGTCATATACGTTCTTTGTTTTTCGAAAATAGACAGAAAAAAAGAAAATAATAACGAGCCAAATGTGTTCTTTTTCAAAAGGAAAGAATAAAACCTTGGTAGGTTTCATTTGTGCAATAACAGCCTCAATATTTCATTGTGACCACAAAATAATTTTAGATGAAAAGAAAAAGTCAAAATAAAAAATCAATTCACACGCGGAGTAGAAAAATATGTTTTTCACCCCTATTTTTAGTTGATGGGTGTAGACACAGTCTATTGCTCTATATCTACATCTGCACTGTGTACAACAAGAAGAGCAGAAAAGAGAATTTATTGTAATATAATCTGCAGCCGCCGAAAGATATCAATTTGCTTTGCAAACTTTTAGAAATATATAAAAAAACTTAGCTTGTGAATTTTATCTATTAAATCAATTCTTCAACTGGAAATAGAATGAGAGCGCAAGATCAAGCACAGGTAAACGAGAATTGAGCTTTTCATATAGTCCATGCGAAATGCAATGCCCTTTTTTCCTTTCGTCATTCCTAGCTGCCACCATCGCAATCGTCACCACCGCAATATCCTCCTCTACCACAACAACAACCGGCTGTACAGCTACAGCAGCAACTTCCACAAGCGTAAGTAACTTAGTGCTTGATTTCAATTGTTCATATAGTTTATTTGATATCCGTATTCAGAACGTGTCCCATCTGTCAGGACGACATAGGACCTAATGAACCAAGGATTAACTGCAACATATGTCATAAATCGTGTCATAGTGGTGAGATTACTCAATGGCTAACTACAAGATTAAATCATGGATATCCTGTAACATGTCCCAATTGCCGTACGGATATGAGTAAGCCTAATCCAAAAGATAGCTTTACAATTCTCCACATCAAACTTTCTTCATTAGCATGGGCTCTTGGTAATCAACAACCTCCAGTGGATCATCCCCCTGCATTCCCTGTCCCGCCTCACAATCCTAATAATAACACTCCGCCAGGTTTACAGCCAGCTGAATTATTACTACATATTAATAACTGGGACTGGGAAGCAGGATTGCCATGAGAGGCAAGCAACTAAGAAGATTTTTGTTCAACACTTACTCAAATTCAGACAGCACGAATGAAAAATAGTGTCAATTCTGTCGTGCTCGCATTCCAGTGCGAGACAGTTTTTTGTAAGAGGATAATAATTTATTTTGCATTTTAATTGGTTCACATTTGTATGAAAAATAGTTAGAGAAATAACAAAGAAAATGAACCAAAGTAAAGAAAAAAACTGGCAAGTTTCCAGGAAAGAAAGCCATACCTTGCGGGCAGAGTCAGTGTGAAAATGAGGGTAGGTGTCAGTGTGGGTGTGGGTGCAGTGACGACCGTTCCACACGCATCGACATCCATACCTTCATATAAAACCCCAACAACACTTACACGCACTGTCACATCTATATCCATCCCAGCGGCGTACCCAAGGGAGGAGCAAATAGGCAATTGCCCATTTCATTTGGAGATTTGCCCGTTGTAATTTTTATTACTAAGTTTTTGCCCATTGAAATTTTACTTTTTCAGAATTGTTTATTTATCTTTGAATTTTTTTTTTTGCTTTATTATGCGTTAATGCCCGAAGGCCTGTTAACACAACCAGATTTAAATGCAGTGACAAGTTAACCACTTAAGACAGAGAAGAGAGAAACACGAGCAAAAGGACAGCGAAAGAAAGTGAGAAGGCGCACACAGATACATATTAGATTTGCATATTGCTAGTAAACACATACATTCAGCGTGCATCGGGTTAGAGGTAGAGAGAAAAAAAAAGAAAATATATAAATCCCAATAGAGTATGACCTACGCAAGAAGAGATAATACAAATTGTAAGAGAAAGAAAAACAAATACATATATATGAAACAAAGAGAAAAACCTGTTACTTAGAAGAGTAGGGTTAATTCGTTTCAATGAGTACGAGAGGGTGATACAAGACTGGGAAGGGAGAAGAAAGAGAAGGAAACTGCTATGATAACTAGGGCCAGAAATACAGCGCTACTACACCCTCGAATTACGCAAAGGTTTCGGGGAATAGGGACAGTAGAGAGAAATCATCAGGAGGAACGAGGGGAATGGAGCACGGGTGGGTGTGGGTGTGGGTGGGTGTGGGTGTGGGTGGG